CTGGCTACACATGGTAGCCCATGGCAACCCACTGCAGCAGGGGCTGCAGCCTACGCTGTCGCTGGTGACTCATGGCAGCCCAGCTCCAGGTTGAGCTGTTGTTCAGCATCTTAGCTGTAGAGGGCAGTGTGACTGGCCCTCATATGTGGGATCCGAACCGGGGCCCTCTGGCGTCCCAAGCCAGCTCTTAACCAACGTGCCACTCAACCGGCCCTATAGTTGCTTTTTGTATAGTTGTAGTCATTGTGTACATTTAGAGTTAACTTTTTAAAACTTAGTGCAAAAATATATTTAATTTTGAACTTAAATACAAGCTTAGATGATAATTTTATACTCTCCACATGCCTTTAAAGTTTCATAATGATCATTTTAATTATTTCTTAACATTTACTCGAATGTTATTTACTTAACCCAGGAAATGCTCACACATATTTTTGAATACTAGAAATCTGGAGGCGTATTTGAAGAGATTAAAACTAAAAGAAAATGAGCTCCAAGATACTATGTGAAAGGTACCATAGGAGTTGTGCATCACGAATACACTATTTGTTACCACTTCTCTTCATTCATGAGGTGGCTTTACTAAAATTTTACCCAGAAAATAACACTAAGACGGGTAAATAAATTTTTTAAATGCAACTATTCTATTACCTTCTAAAATTGCCATTTCTTTAAAAAAAAGGCAATATACACATTCCAGTTGTCCCAAATTGGCCCTCACCAAAAGAGGTAGCACACTCTTGCTTTAAATCAAATAAATACTTAGGACTTATTGAGTGTTAGTTGCTGTTTCATGACATTCTAAAAAATTAAAGTTAGCTTTAATTCTTCCAAATAGTCCTTAAGGGTAATATGTACTATTTACTGAGTACCGACCATGTGTCAGGAATCCTGCTAGACTTTTAAAGTTTATTAGCTTAATCCTAACAATTTAAGGTATATTTCTTATTGCTGCTATTCCACAAATGAAGAAACAGACTCAGTAGGATTAAGTGACTTGCCCAAGGTCCGAAGCTGCAAAGTGGCCCATCTAGTTCATTGTGACTCTGAAGCCCCCTTTTTTTCTCTAAAAGACAAAGTGTTAAAACTGCAAATATTTTCTTGAGAAGACAGTGTTAACGAGGCAGTCAGTGAAGCAAGCGCTCTGACTAGAATGTGTCAGGGTTTTTTTTTTCTTTTGTTTTTAAGGGTGATGCCCCAGAATGACTTAATGCTGAGCACATAGAATGTTCTGGTCTGTACATGTAGTCCTTAGGAAGTTATCTTTGAAGAACCTGTACTTTTGTTTACATACTGAACTGAATAATTTAGAAGATTCATGGAATATGGATGTTAGGACAGCTTAATGGAGGGAGGTATAGTAGAGTCACAAAAATACATAGGATGAATTATTTTAGAGTCAGAATGGATTGTAAAGCTCCAAAGTGTGGGAAGCAACAACTTTGCTTATTAAGAATTGAGAGAAGTAGGTGTTATATTGTTTATTCACAGGCCTAATTGTCAGTTCATTCAACAGATACTTACAGGGTTCCTACTGAAGTTCCAGGCCCCAGGGTGGGTGGTGGGGATGCAGTAATGAATACAACAAAATCCTGTCCTCCTGGAGCAGAAGCAGACAGTGAACAATAAGTATGACAGGTCTTGATTAATGCTCTCATATTGAGGGGGAGGGGGGAGTGTCACATTAGATGGCGTGATCCAGGATCCTCTTCAAGAGTCAGGCCGTTGGAAATCTACAGATGCGGAGGACTGACTTAAGTTATATACGGATTTTTGACTGCACACGTGCTCAGTACCCCTAATTCCCGCATTGTTCAAGGGTCCACTGTAGGTATTATATGAATAATTATCTGCTTTATTTACTGCTGCTATCCCCAGAACCTAGATCAATGTTTGGCCAATGATAAGTGCCCACATATTTGAGTGGGCATAATGAGTAAATGAATGATCTGATAAATGGCATCCCATTACTTCATAGAACATGCTCTTCTGTTTCCTATTCTGTTGAAGCCCTTCCATCCTTCTAGTGTTGTCTTCCTCCTCTTTGACAGCCTCCGACTTTAGTGTGGGAAATGACGTCTGTGTACCCTTCCTGAGATGGGGTCCAGTCTCTGTTTGCTTACCACAGCGGGCTGCCTTTTGAAAAAGTTTAGCAAAGTCTGGGGCACTGATGGTTCTTTTAGTAATCCTGCTACCAAATTAAGCTCATGTTTCTCTCAGGAAGCCCCGGGCAGTACTTAAGTGTTAATAAAAGGCAACCCTAACTCTTCCGCTTTATTTTTATGTGCTACTACTTTGCATTTTTCTGTTATTTATTCTATTAGCCTTACGTGCTTCTGTTTTCCTGCGATACGGTGAGGTTTTTCTGTGATCATAGTTTATGAGGAAAATAGAAAGGAGTGTAATGGGAAGGTTAAGATTTAAACAATCACGTGATAGCCTCCAGAGCAGTCGCTCCCCTCTCCAGGTTTGCTGCTTCTACCTGTTGCCTGGATCTGGTCTCTTAGATTAGGCCCGCTATTTGCTGCTGCTGTGCTCTCTGAGATACGGATGTGGAGAGAGAGTGTGAAGATGAAGGTCACATGTGGTTATAATATTAATAGGAATGTAGATTGTGAATACAGATTGAACATCTGTGGCCACAGATAAAAAAAATGATCTTAGTTGAAATTTAGATAGTATCTCTATTTTTAAGGGGAGAAAATTGAAGTACATTAGACAGAAGGTCATAGCTATGTTGGATGGGGACTTGAACTTAGTTTTATATTTTTGGTAAGTAAGTATTCAGTTTTTCTCCAGAATATTAGATTTTCACTTGAAGTTCATTTGCAGTGGCATGAGATCATCTAAGATGGTAACATTAGGAAACATGAGTTAGTGTAGAAACACTGCCAAGAGTGTACAGAAAAAATTTCCATTAGTTGATGTTAAAAATAAAATTTTTCCTTTTCTCTTTTGTTATCCAAATGGTGGTAGGAGCATAACTTAAAGGGATCATACAGGTGGTGGATTATCCAAGCATCAAAGAGAGGTTCTCACATGTGTAACTAATTGATTGGCAGCATGGGTGGCTGCAGTCCATTAGATTATGGCAGCCGCTCTTAACCTCACAGAGGGTGTTTAAAATTACTTAATAGTTGTGGGGCCCACTGTTAACACTTATTGTCAAATAGAGGATCACAGATGAGAGGCACAGGAGGAATCCACTCTTTCTTGCCCAGTTTTTAGGTGAAAAGCTCTGTTTCTATATAGTTCCCACCCAAACTGATACTGAAACGCTGCCTTCCTCCAGGGTTGTTGTGAGGATTAAATGATTTATGTATGAAAGCTGGTTGTAAACTATAAAGTGTTGTTCCGTCTATATAGAGCAGTGTTTTAAAACTCAGTTTGATACTTAAAAATACTTTACTGGCACTGTTACAAAGAAATAAAAATATTTGATGTTTTTTATTTTCATACCTTGTTTTAATGTATTTGTTTTTTAATTGCCATTTTTGTCTCTTCTTCTAGAAACTAATATATACACTACATATTACTTTGTTCTAGGGAGCTCGGGTTGGTCGGATAGATGCTTTTGTTCAGAGCTTGGACAAAAATTTTATGGTTCCAGTAGGTGGCGCTATAATTGCTGGCTTTAATGATTCTTTCATTCAGGAAATCAGCAAGATGTATCCAGGTAAGTAAATCAGTTGCTCTTCAGAAAGAGTAACTAACAAACAAAAATCTATTTGTGCATAGGCTACTATAATAAATCTTAATTTCCAGAGCTTTTCCCCTCTCGAATGTAACTCGTTCATTCTTATTTCAGGAAGAGCGTCAGCTTCACCTTCTTTAGATGTCCTTATTACTTTATTATCACTGGGATCAAATGGCTATAAGAAGCTATTAAAAGAAAGAAAGGTACGCTTTCCCTTTAGGTGTAAAATAATACTCCTGACTAGAGCAGCACTCCAAATCACTGGTGTTTTTGCCTATTGGTTTGTCACTTTTGATTATAAATCTGTAGTACGGTTCTGGGGATTTGCTTCGATCTGGAACCACCCTTGGTGGTTTGCAATTAATCATTGTCATCCTGTTTATCCAGATATTCTGAGGAATCTTGGACAGGTGATTTTGCTTTTTTTTTTTTTTTGAGAAACTCCTACATTAGGCATTCTTATTAGTTCAGTAAAATTCAACTCATTTATCACTTAGATAGAGACTCTTGAAAGACAAACAGACAAGGCTTTTGGAAGCCTAAAGACTCGTGCAGGTGTGAGCTGTCAGTCGAAGAAGGCAGAACCTGGTCAGAAGTTGGCCAGCTTCTCATTCTAAAATAATAAATCCATCCCTTGCTAATATTGGAATGCTGAACTCACTGGTTACGTTGGCTACGAAGAGAAAGTGACATTTGTGCTTGAAAACTGGGCTTTGTCTCCAGCACTAAGAACTAGCTTCATTGAGCACAGCTCCAAAGTTGTAGGCAGTGTTGGCGGGGCTAGTCATACTAAGTCGTTTTATCTGTCTCTCATCTGGAAGAGCCAGAAGCCCGTGGTACAGTTTTTGTATCTGTATAACTTTCCAACACTTAGCAATTATGGCACGTTGTATTTTATAATAGTACTTTACATATTTTAAAATATTTTCATAGATATTATTGGATAGATCCTCTCAACAGCTTTATGAATATATAACAGAAGTTTTAAAATTTTTGTGCTCTGTTTTACCCTCCCCCGACTAATTCAGTCCATAGGAAAGTAATTATTTACTTTTTATTGTGAGGACATCTGTTAAGATTTACATGATATAGGAAAAGATGCTCAACATCATTAGTCATTAGGGAAATGCAAATTAAAACCATAATGAGATACCACTGCACACCTATTAGAAGGTGTGATATTAAAAAAAACAAACCTGGCCATTAAATATTGGCAAAGATCTCAAGTAAGTAGAACTCTCAGACATTACTGGTAGGAATGCAAATGGCACAGCGACTTTGGAAAACACTTGGCAGTTGTTTATAAAGTTAAATATACACTTACCATATAAACTAGCCATCCTACTCCTAGCTACTCAAGAAAAAGAGAATTTATGCCTGTATAAACCTTATACATGAATGTTTATAATGATTCTATTCATAATTTTAAAAATCGGGAACCAACTGAAATGTCCATCATCTGGTGTATAAACAAATTGTGGCACATACATACGCAGCAGTAAACAGGAACAAACTACTAATATATGCAACGACATAATGACTCTCAAATGCATTATGCTAAATGAAATAAGCCAGACTCAAAAGGCTGCGTATTATATGGTGTCATTTGTATGCTATCTTGGAAAAGGCAAAAAATATCAGGACAGAAAAAAGATGGATGGTTGCCAGCAGCTTGGGTTGGGAGAGGGAATGTTGGGGTGGTAAAATGTGGGAGTAGTTTCATGACTGTACATTTGTCAAAATTCGTAGAAGTAGACACCTGAAAAGTGGACATCTGAAATTTTACTGTATGTAAATTATGCCTCAAGAAACCTGAGAAAAACTTGTTTTAAATGATTAGAATAAAACTCCAGTTTGATGAACTCCAAAAAGTAAAGATCGTGGTCATAGATTGTTGTAGCCAAGGGGAGACCTCAGTGAATCTTTCAAGGAACCTCCTCCATATGACAGATGAAGCCTCTGTTTATAGATGAGGAAAATTGTCATCTGTTTATATGAGAGTTTAGTTGTGTCAGACACCAGTGGGTCTTAGCTCTCCCATAACTAGTTGTTTCATTATGGAAAAGGTACTTGAACTTGCAGATTTTATTTCCTCATTTATGAAAGAAACAATTGCTGTCTCAAGCCATTTCTAGTTCTGAAAGACTGTGGAATTTTCTTAAAACAGCTACTACCTGGGCCATAGGCATTATAATCATGGTAATTGGCCTATAATTTATAATCTAGCACAAGTCATCTTGGGAATTTATAAATCAGACATTTTTTAAGGTTGAAAATTTTAAGATGATGGTCTCTTCAATTTCATGGTACCTTTTATCCATTTCCACCCCATCAGACTGTCTTGGTCCCCCCACTTAAAATAGCATGGTCAAAAGTAGGGACCAGTGTTTTTGTGAAATTCAAAGTAGATAAAGTTGAGTGTGTGGGATAAGTTTAATTTGCTAAATATTTATTGAGCACATATTATGTTTTGGGCACATAGTTTTGATATAGCAATCAATAAAATAGACAAAGATACCTGCTGTTGTGGAGCTTACACTGCATATGGGGGCGACCAGCAATAAAAAAATAACAAAACATAAATTGTAAAGTTTGCTTGATGCATAAATTACAAAGGTTAAAATGCTCTGGAAAAAAGAAAGAAGAGAGTAAAATAAGGGAATTGGGGATGACGATGTGGTGGTGGGATACAGTGGTTAGGGCAGGCCTCAGTGAGAAGGTGACATTTGAGAGGACGTGATGAAGCTTGAGGGAATATATGCATGTGATGGAGAAGCGTGAGGCAGAAAGCCAGCACGAGGACCTGGGCAGACGTGGTGTGTTTGAGGTGCAGTAAAGAGGCCAGTGTGGCTGGAGCAAAGTGAGCAAGGAGAGGAGCTGTGGGTACTGAAGCCAGAGTGGCAATGGGGTGGGGCTGATCATGTAGGGCTTTCTAAGCCATAGGAAGGCCTTTGCCTTATATTCTGAGTAAAATAAGGAGCCACTGGAGGGTTTTGAATAGAGGGATATTGTGATCTGACTTATATTTTAAAGGATCACTCTGGTTGCTGTGTTGAGAATAAATTGGTGGGAGGAGGGTAGAAGCTGGGACACCTGTTAAGGGGCCTTTACAGTAGTCAAGAAGGGATGTTAGGAGGGGTGGGGAGGAGAGGGTGGGGTGGGTAGAAGGGGGAGTCGGAGCGTTGCGGTGGGTGGAGGATGGGGCAGTGCAGCAAAAGCAAAAAGAAAAGAAGGGATGGTAGTTTGGATCTATCGAAAGATAGTGACCGTGGAGGTAATGAGAAGTGGTTGGATTCTAGGTCTGTTTTGAGCCAGTAGGAGCTCATAATGAATGTATTGTATGAGAGAAAGAGAGAAGTCAATAATAATTCTGAGACTTTTGACCTGAGCAATTGGAAGCATGGAGGAGCTATTAAGAGATGAGTAAGTCTGTGGGTTTCGGGAGAAGGCCAAGAGTTCAGTTTCCGCTGAAATAAAATTCAGAATATTCGTTGACATCTAGATGGAGATGTCAGGTAGAGAGTGGGATATGAGTCTTGTGTTAAGAGAGAGAGCTGGGCTGGACATAAAAATTTGGGGAGTTAATTGGCCAAGAGACTGGATGGGATTGCAAGAGAGTGAGTCTAAATGGAAAAGAAGTACAAGAACTGAGCTCTTGGGCGCTCCAACAGTAAGAGGTCTGGGAGAAGAAAGGGGACCAGCAAAGGAGCTGGGAATAACAGACACTTGGAGAGAAAACATGTCATAGTATTTTAATACTTACGAATAGGTAGATAATATTTTATGGAGTTTGAGATGGACTGCATAAATGTTCCAAATATCAAAGTATAACTCTTTAGTTGTTTATTTTTTATCTTTTTAGTTGTCATGGTGTAGTCTTATAGTTCCTTTTTACCTTCCTTATAGTGATCACTATGCAGATTTGGGTAAAAATTAATTTCAAACTAAGTAAATGGAAAATGTAATACCTCTGACAATAAGACTATTACACAAAGTTTTAAGTTAGATATTTAAAGAGTATGATTCATTACATAGAAACTGAAAAAATTTTTATGCTGTTGTCATAGCATCAAATAAGCATACTAAGTATTTTCTGGTTTTGTTCTTCTTGAATTGACACTAGATACTAGCTAATAATATTAAATGTTTGATATACTAAATTAATGTAAGTCTTGAGTGACTTTGTAGTTAAACTTATTTAACTAGCAAATTAAACTGATTATTTGAGTGCACATCTCTAAAGAATTACCATCAGGTGTCTGAAATGAAACTAGTCCAGGAGACTAGTATGGACCTTGGAGGTTGCCATTGATACCTCTATTCTGGATATCCCTTGCTTGATATGTAGTTGATGCTCATCAGATGTTCATTGAATGAACCAATGCAGAGTACTTGGGAACACATAGGTTCTGTGTTGGATAGTCCTCTGTTGTTTTACACAGAATAAGTATCTTCCTGGAAAGTTAGAAAGCAAATAACATTATGATACTGACTTCCATTAAATTAGATGTTCTTATGGAAACATTTACCTATATGGATACAATTGAAAACTTGTGAAAAGAAATGAGTTAAAATGGTGATTGCCTGTTGTGTATAACAGATTCTGTATTTGTGGGAGTAAGACTTCCTCCCTGATAGGTATTCCTCTTCCAAAGCACTTTTCTTACACTAGGATTTTGGAATTGTTGATTTTAGGGGTGTTCCGTCATGCTTTTGGAATCTTAAGCATTTCTGTTATGCCGTGGTTCTTCTGACTTCTGACATTTAGGGTTTGACTTCAGAATTTTCATCTACGTTGAGATGATTCCAGAGGCTCATGCGTGTGTGTGTCCATTTTGCTTAGCGTGAGTGGCAGTGCACCTGCTTTGAGTATGTAGCTCAACTGGTGAATGGCTCCAACAGGCAGCCCAGCTCTGCTTTTCATTGAGACTGTTCTTTGTTAATCATTGGATGAATACTACATGGGAGAAATTTTATGTTCTAGTGATATTTATAAATTGGATGGCTCCATCTCAGCCGTCAACAGGTAACTCTCTTTGTAACATCCAGAACAGTGTTCTTTTCCTTTTGTCTAGGTAGAGTAGAGTGGAATAAACAGGGACAGAACAAGAATAGGATTCGAGCTATGGGGTGTTAGCACATGTCTATAGGAGTCCTGCTAGCTAATGTTAGTTATTTTAACCTGAAAACTCTTTTAGGCTAC